CTGGTTAAAGGTGTGCATCATATGCCTGCTCCACAGCGCGTTTTAATTAGCTCCTACAAGCCTAATACAGTGGGAAAGATAATTTGGGGCAAACAACTGTAAATAGGTGGCTCCAAGTAGAGGCCGATGAATCACCATGTGCCTAGTCACCAGGGAGCTTTCAGGCCACTATAGAAACAACCGTACTTGACAACGGACCATTGAGCCCCAAGTAGTCAAACCCCAGAGCTGGCCAGCACAAGTAGTAAGGGAAGGGCTACTCACCCCTTCACCAGACCTACAGGACCAAAAGAGGCCATGGTGGGCTGCAGGCGTCGGGAAGAACAAGACAGACAGCCTTCCTGCACCAACATTCCAGAACTCCAAGCACTGAGGCTCCAGACCGACAGTTTCTGCTCGTCCCTCCCGCACACGGGACCACATGGGAGTGGGCAAGAGCCAGAGAATCAAAGAACTTCACCTTTGAATTCAGCACGGCTGTGCCAGCAAGGGACTCCATGAGTAGCCTCGCTGATTCCTAACGCCACATCTAAATTTAAAGTAGTTCTGTCATCAAATATGATTTCAAATACAACTTTCTTAAGGGCAAACAGAGTATTACATTTAAAAACAAAAAGCAAACATGAAAAGCAGCAGACGGGGTTAGAACGATGGCTCAGCTCTTAAAAGTCCTGGCTGCTCATGTAAAAGACCGGAGCCGAGTAGTAGTGGTGCACACCTTTAATCCCAGCACTCGGGAGGCAGAGGCAGACAGATCTTTGTGCGTTTGAAGCCAGCCTGATCTACAGAGTGAGTTCCAGGACAGCCTCCAAAGCTACACAGAGAAACCCTGTCTCAAAAAAACAAAAAGAAAAACAGATAAAAGAAAAAAGAAAAAGGAAAAACACATGTCTAACCTTAGAGAGACTTTAGCAGATTGTAGTCTATACAATAGCAGAGCTATACAACAGTGTGTGTGTGTGTGATGTGTGTATGTTTGTGTTTGTGTGTGGTGTGTGTGGTGTTTGTATGTGTGTGTGTGTGTGTTTGTGTGTAGTCTATACAACAGCAGAACTCTAGACAGTGCCTTCAAAAGTAGCTTTAATGACAACATCAGCACTTTAACAAGAGTTGCCAGCACTTTTCTAGGAAACTGAGGTGAACCATAGCAAATACCTGTAAAGATCTAAGTGCATTAAAGTTTTTTTTTCCCTAAAAGAGAAACGTCACCCTTTTCAAAACGTGTAGATTTCTGATCTAACTTTTTGTAGCCATTACCTTCATCCTTTTTTCTTTCTTCTCTTTTAAAGAGAAAATGGGATTTCATCTACCTGTGTGGAAGGTTGTCGTGTTTGGTGGTTTGGTTAGTTGGATGGCTGGCTGATCTTTTGGCTTGTTCCCTGAAATGTAAGTATGCCTTAGATTTACAGAAGGTGTCTGGACACAAAGCACACGGGGAGTGTTGGGGACCAGAAGCATCAGGACCAGCTTGCTCTGGGACTTACAGAAATCCTGTGACAGGAGGACAAAGGCAGAGGGAACCTGAGACAGGTGGACAAGTTAAGTAACCAGAAAACAAGCTTGTGAGTACGGTGAGAAGTCTGAGGACAATGGAAACATTATAAGAAACAGTGCCCAGGGAGTTAAGGGACTAGTTCAGCTTCCAGGAGAGCAAGCCTGGTTCTCCAGTGCTCGGCAGTGACACCATGTCACAGTGTGACTGCCTTGACATAACCCTGCATAACACAAGAAATTAAGGACTATGACATTCTCAAAGAGCTAGTAAAAATATTAACTTTTTAAAAACTAGGAAACTTCACCACGGTGTGGTGGTATACACTTATGCACTTGGGAGGCAGATCTTTGCAATTGAAGGACAGCCTACAATAGCAAATCCTACATAGCTAAGCAAGTTCCAGGCAGGCCAGGGCTAATCAGTGAGACCCATTAAAATTTTTTTTGAGAAAATTCTATACATTTTATGTGAGTCAATCACATTGGTACCAAATAAAGCAATTCTGGGAGGACCATCTTTCATTCAAACTATGGAGTTAGGGGGTGGAGAGATGGTTTGGAGGTTAAGAGTGCACAATGCTCTTGCAGGAAACCAGGTTCAGTTCTCAGCACCCATGCTGGGCAGCTCATAACCACCTGCATGTAAGTCCAGCTCCAGCAGGGTCCAGTACCTCTGGTCTCCACAAGCACCTACTCTCATATGCACGCATACAATAAAAATAAATCACTGGGCAGTGGTGGTTTGCACACGCCTTTAGTCCCAATACTCTCAGGAGGCAGAGGCAGGCAGATCTCTGAGTTTGAGGTCAGCCTGGCCTACAGAGCAAGTCCCCAGGACAGCCAGGACTACACAGAGAAACCCTGTCTCAAAAAACCAAAAACATAAATTTTCATTCCTTCATTCATCGTAGGGGAAACCTATGGAGTCTAGCATAAGTCTCTAGACTATAATAATCTGAGAACTGTTTTATAAAATCTCAGAAAAGGAGACATTGTGCTTGGCAGGATTATTTCTCAGGAAGAATAATTTTAACTGCTCACTCACTTGAAGCACCGTTAAGAAAAACATTGTGTATCAGTTTCCTACAGTGTGCATGGCCGACAGAACACATTGACACAGCCCTGCTGGCATTTAGCAACACAAACTTACTTCCTTTTAGTTCTGGAGGTGAGAAGTCCAATCAGGAGACTTGGGGGCGGGGCTGGGGGAGGTCAGTGCACAGGAGCTTAGTGGAAGGGCACTTGCCTGGGATGCCCAATGCCTGCATTTAGTCCCCAGCAATGAAGAACACACAGAGCAAGAGTGGGTCTTGCTGAGCTCACACTAAGGTACTGGCAGGACTGTACCCTTCTGGAAGCCCCTAGAAAAGCCTGTCTCCTTGACATTTTCAGCCCCTAGATGCTGCCCTCCTTTTCGATATGCCCAACCCCTTCTTCCTCTGAAACAATGACTGGTTGGGTTTTTCTCAGGCTGCCTCTCTATCACTTATAGTGGGCCTACCAGGACACTACTAACTTATCTAATCTTATTTATTTACTTTTTTCCTCCTAACACAGGGCTTTACTGTGCAACAGTCCTGGAACTTGCTTTGTAGACCAGGCTGGCCTTGAACCCACATAGATCTGCCTGCCTCTGCCTCCTGAGTGCTGGGATTGAAGGTGAGTGCCACCACTGCCCTGCTTTATTTACTTTTGAAAAGATTATTTACTTTAATTATGTGTATATGTGAGAGGAAGGGTACGTGCTTGTGGACACAGGGTGTCTCCAATCCCCTGGAGCTGGAGTTACAGGAGGTTGTGAACCATGTGATGTGGATGCTGGAACTGACTCCATCCTCTGGAAGATCAGTAAGGCTCTGAACTGATGGGCCATCTCTCCAACCTGTTTATTTACTTCTTCAACAAGGTCTTGCTCTGTAGCCCAGGCTGACCTCAAACTCATGATCCTCCTGCTTCTATCTCTAGAGTGCTGGAGTTACAGGCATGAGCCACCAAGCTCAGACCAGGCTTCTATTTTAAAGTCAGTTGAGTAGCATTCTTACTTTCCTTTGTCATGTGATATAACATAGTCACAGATTCCAAGGATTTGGAGTGTGGTTATCTTTGGGGAGGGATTACTATCACAACTTCTAACAGTAATTTACATTGCCCAAAAGGTACAGTGACCCTACTAAAGTGTTTATCTTAGATTTGTGCAGCCCATATATAGACATTACATATTCTTCTGGGGGGGTTTTGGTTGTTTGCTTAAGGGAATTGTTTAATTTTGTTTGCAAAATGGGAGATTAAACTTAGTCATTATGCATTAAGAGTCTTCTGCATCCTGACTGGGCTGTTTGATTTTTTTTAAAAATGTAAAGGCATTTTTTTAATTAGCTCAAAAGACTGAAAGTAACAACAAAGATTTATTTCTTTAATCAACAAAAGAAGTAAATTGAGCTGGTGACGCGTGGCTCCGGAGTTAAAGGTGCTTAATGCCCAGGTCCCCTCAGGATGAGAGAACTGACTTAAACTGTCTTCTCACCACGACACACGCACTCACACACATACACATGTGCACACAAAATGAAAAAGTGTACTAAAAGTTTTAAAGAAACAAGTCAATGTGAACATGGCTGACGAGGGAAATCTGAATTGAAAAAACTGCATTTAATTTTATTATTTTCTTATAAGTGTGTTGAAACCAGGTTACGATTCTCTAGGCAAAACAGCTCTATTAGTTAGGAGCCTAGCGGACTTCTCCCTCGGGGACACAAGACCCGGGCAAGCGAGAGTAAAAGGAGACGAGACACCTGTCCCAACGGAGAAAGGAAGAAACACCTGGAAAGCAGTTAAGAGACCAGGAGGCAGTGGGAGGGGAAACCGGAGAGGAGGCTATGCCTCCAATGGGCTGTTCTCACAGTCAACCTGTTCCCAGAGGAGAGGGATACGGTGGCAACGCTCTAGAAACTGCCGCAAGCTCAGCGAGGCCAGATTGTACCTCCCGAGACTGGGTTCTGATGACACTCCTTCCAGGAAGTTTCCCCAGCCAGTTTGGATCAGCCTGAAGGGGGCAAGTATCCTACTCGCTCTTTCCCCCACTTAATCTGCACCAGTCATAAGTAAACTGAACACGAGCGGCTAGAAAGTAAACAGGACCGGGCAGCTCCTAATTCGTAGCACTTGTTTGCGCGGGCGTGAGCTCCCCTTCCTCCCACACACCGGCACAGGCTTGGTGCTTAATGAACGACGGTGAGGCTGGCTTGCAGGCGCGTTTCTATAGAGGGACGAGTTGTCAAACCTGAGGCCCAATGTGGGGTGCCGGGGGTAGGCAGGATGAGAGAGCGGGGGAAATTTTCAAATTTCGTTACTTGAAATTTTACTGCCATCCCCAGCTTTCCCGCGCAGCTGCTTCCACTGACAATCAGAGGAGGGGTAGTCGCGTGCGGGATGGGGAAGGTGTCCCTCTTTCGCTGAGGGAGAAGCCAGAGCTTAGCAGGGAGCCTGCCCGCCCGCGCGCTCCTCACCAGGTCGATGGCCACGACGTCCCGCAGAGCCACGACCCTCCGGATGGACTTGGGCGGGTTCTCGGTCAGGTAGATGAGTTGGTCGCTGAGCACAACGTACTTGAACGTGTGCTTCTCGGCGTCGGACACCACGATGCACGGCTCGTAGGCGCGGACGGCGTCGTAGACCTCGGGCGCCAGGTGCCGCCGCAGGAACGCATCCAGACGACTGTTGGTGCGCCCCGGGAAGCCGGACCGCGCGGAGCTGGCCATGAGGCACCAGCGACCAGGCAGAGTGTCCCCGTTGGCTGTGCCTCCACGACACCCAGTGGAACCCGTGCGCGCCACAAAGCCGCGCGCCGACTTCCTCAGCCACCACGGCGCCGGGACTCTGGGAGCCGTCCGTCCACCAGCTCCAGGAACCCGCTCCGCCGTCTGGTTTCCGTGCCCCCTGCCCCGCCCGGTCCCGCCCTTACTCTTTGTCCGCACCCTCCACAGCGAGGGGCGGGGCGAGACTAAGTTCTTTCTCGCAGTTGATTGACAACCGAGAACCACTCAAGGATCTGGGAAGGAATAGTTAGGAATCCCTGTCCAGCTGCTGAGCCACATGGTTCCATACATACTCTGTTGATAACGGAGGCCAGTTTTAGTCTGATTTCCTATTAAAGAGAAACTTGAAGCATCGAGTTTTACCATTTGCATTTGACCAGAACACTGCCTGGTTTATATGACCGTAACACTGACTTTCCAAGTTTGTCTCAGACGCAGGACTCTGCCTCAGAGGGACTCGTAAATTGCTTCGAGTATGCAGGCCGATCCAAGCGGGGCGCCTGTGTTCCCGAGAACGATGTGGAAAATAACGGATGGTTCAAGGGCTCTCTGGAAATCAAAGCTAATGGGTTGAAGGGTGTGGATTATGTAGCCCCGGCGATGCAGAGTAATAAAGGCACCGCTTCACACTTGCCGGCCAGGAATAGCACGGTTTGTTAGGTTACTGAGATGAAAAGGGGAACAAATACCTGCCCTAGATGTGCATTTCCATTTTATTTCAAATCCTAGAAAAGCCATCTATGCCCCAGCGCTTCCCATTCATCTAAAGACCCGAGGATGGAGCAGGGGTGGGGGGAAAAGGACCCCACACGGACCCTTTAAACCTAACATTCCAGAGACTGAGGCCTGAGGACGGTCATAAACTGGAGGTCTAATGAGTGCTGGGCTGCACAGCAAGACCCTGCCTCAAAAATAAATCTATGGAAAAGATACAATGAAAGCATATGATCCCTTCTGTTTACTAACAGACCTTACTACAATCTGATGCTTCTGATGGTGGTTTATAGTCTCCTTTTCTCATATTTTACCATTATATACTGAAAACAACTCCAAATCCATTGTGGGAGAAGAATATAGATGTACTGCAATGTATAACCAGGTATTGTGAACTAACCCACTACACTAGAGAAAAACAAAGCAGTAGTAAATAAATAGAACACGTTCTTTCTTTTCTTAGACCACATTTGGTAAGAATAGGAAACAAGTGCCACCTGCTGGCAAAATCTCAAACTTTCCCCAGAGTTTACCTGACTCCATGGCTACAAACCCATCCCCACTTGAAGCCACTAGAAAGGCAAACGCTCACCTGTGCCTAATGGTTACCCACAACAGCAGCTGGGTGATAACTGACTATAACAGAGGTAGAGAGGGAAGGCCACGGGGAAGCCTCACTCCAGACCACTGTTCTGTCTCTGGGTTGCTTGTTTTATACCCCAGTTCCCAGGACCAAGACCAACAGAATGGCTGGACCATGACTAGAAATGGCAGAGCACATGCTGTATGTGCCAAAAAGCCCACTGGGAATCAGTCACCTTCTAGTGACCAAGACATCAGCCTTAATGCACCCTAAATGAGGCACACAAAAATGGGACTGGTGATGACCTCATTTAAGCCTGGCGACTCACAGAGAAGGCAGTGTCATGGTTTCCAGGTACCTAATGTTCTACACTGTTACCAGGGCAACAGCAAAGTTCACCTTGCAGGGATGGGATTAACCACTAAGGGAAGCTTACTGGATTTGGAGCTAGTAGGATTGGATTAGATCATTAACCCTATTGCTCACTATCTGTGAGATTTTTACGTGGGGGTGAGGATCACTTAACCAGTCTGGCAGTGGTGGCACTCGCTTTTAATCCCAGCACCCTAGAGGCAGAGGCAGGCTGATCTCTGTGAATTCAAGGCCAGCCTGAACTGCAGAGAGATTTCCCGGACAGGCTCCAAAGCTACAGAGAAACCCTGTCTCGAATCCACCTTTCCCCGCCCCCCAAAAAAGCACTTAACCTTGTGGAGCCTAAGTTTCATCACGTGTGAAAGGCACCTGCCAACACTTGCCCTGCCAGCCAAAGATTGGAAGTGAGGACCAGAGCGTACTGCAGACATTGAGGTACCCATGTTCCCCTAGGTTTTTTCTATTCTTCCCATGAGCACCTAACCCAAACACCAGTGATAATACTTACTCCTTGTCTTCTAAGCCTGCCCAAACTCAAGAAACATTTGGCATAGATTCTGAGCAACCAAGCATTTGATCGACATTCCTACCAGAAGAACGGAGCATTACTTGTAGTGAAGAACCTCAAAAGGCGCAGTCACTGACTACCATCAAAACAGTGGTGGGCCTCCGCCCAGGGTCAGCTGACTGAATTAACTTGAAGGCGTGGAAGTTATGAGAATAACAGCTGAAAGCAGTCCAACTGGGTTCAAATGCTAGCCCCCACTCTAGCTAATGACCTGAAAGTCACTCACCTCCTCAGCTTCCTTGTCTGGGAAAGAGACCAAGAGCTCCAGTGCCACAGTACTGCTATGATCAGCAAAGCTCAAGAAGAGTTTAGAAGCTGTAATTCTGTGGTAAAGATGTGGATGGAAGCTTCTGTTCCACCCCAGGTCCTGCTACCGTTTAGCCCCAAATAAACACACAGAGGCTTATATTAATTACAAGCTGTTTGGCCTATGGCTCAGGCTCCTGCTCTCTCTCTCTCTCTCTCTCTCTCTCTCTCTCTCTCTCTCTCTCTCTCTCTCAATTAACCCATTTCTGTTCATCTGTGTATCTCCTCACAGTCTTGGCTTACTGGTGATATCTGGACCTCTTGCTCTCTCGGGAGCTACATGACGTCTCTCTGACAATTCTTTCTCATTCCTCTTCCCAGAATTCTCCTAGTCTGGTAGCCCCACCTATACTTCCTGCCTGGCTACTTCTTTCCTGTCCATTGGCTGAAACACCTTTATTCATCAACCAACTACAGAAACATATATTCACAGCATACAGAAGGGCATCACCCCCCCCTACCCATAGTCATAAAGGATCTGATAGCATGAGGAAGGCTGAATTTGATTCCCAAAACTGCAGAAGGTATAAAAATCAAGAAAATGAAGACCAGGCATGGTGGCAATGGGCCTGTCATCTTCCATGGCCTGTACTTGGCAGGCAGAGGCAGGAGGATTCTTCAGGACCAGCCTGGACTACATAGACAATCATCTCAAGAAAACAAACCAAATAAGACAAAAACCAGGTGCCACCCAGGGGTGGTGTTTCACGCATTTAATCTTGATACACAACCAGGAAGACTAGAGTTCAGAGACCAACATCAATTACATGCCAAGAATCCATTCCTCTCCTAGAGATCTGTCCTCTTCCTCTGGCCTTTGTGTACATGCAGGCACACAGGCAGCAGCACAAATAAAATAAATCTTTAAAAAAACAAAGTAGAGGAAGTCCAACAAGAGTGTGATTTCCTGTCATCATTCTCTCAAGTTACAAAATATCAAGTTGAAGCTGCTTCTGGATACTAAGTGTTAATCCCATTTCATGACAATAAGACCACTACCACAGGCTTTATCCAAATCTGAAGCAAGCTTTAATTAAATACTGGTCAGGAGGATGGTCCCTGGCCAGGTCCATTCCTGGGTTCTCAGGAAATGGCCACAAGTCACATCTTGCATAGGCTTAAAAAGGCAACCCCAGCTGGGCGGTGGTGGCGCATGCCTTTAATCCCAGCACTCGGGAGGCAGAGGCAGGCGGATCTCTGTGAGTTCGAAGCCGGGCTGGACCTATAGCCTCCAAAACAATACAGAGAAACCCTGTCTCGTAAAAATCAAAAAAAAAAAAAAAAAGGCAACCCCATACAGCTATGTAATTCCCATCAGGTCCAATCAAGAGCAAGCATATATCCTGATTAATTTCCTGCCTACATACCTCCTATCTACATGTGATCAAGCATATCTTGATCAAACTAATTTGTTAAGGAGAGCAAAAAACAAACATCTTCCATCGTTTCAGGAAGTATCTGTCTTTGGGCAAGGGGCTTACAGATTAGAAGCATTTTTGTTTCATGCATCTCTTAGGTGCTGTAATTAAAACTTAAACATAGCTTTGCTATCCCTGGTGCATGAGCTAGCTTGTTAGAGCCCATCTCCAAGGAGGGGATGCCATGCTCAGACTTAACCCAGAGGGAGGGGCTTGGTCCTGCCCCAACTGAATTCGACAAACTGTGTCCACTCCCCATGGTAACACTTACCTGTCGGGAGGAAGGGATGGAGGAGGGAGGAGAGGTGAAAGGGGAAACTTAGGTTGGAACTAAAATGAAATTTTAAAAATAAACATTAAAAAAAAACAACCCTAACTTTGGCTCTGACACTAATCTAACCTTTTTGGCTTCAGACTAAAGGTCAGAGTCTAATACAAGGCCACCACACACACAATAAAACGGTATTTACAATAAACATTCATTTATTTGAGTCCTTTTATTTTTGTTGAGGGGATTTGAACCTCACACAAACCAGTCAAGTGTTTTTAAGCTATTTCATCTGCAAGAACAGCATTTTTGCTTTACAGAGGAGAAACATCAAACTAGAGACCTAGAAATACCTTTCAACAGGTCTAGGGATCTCTAAGTTTCAGTTTTTTTTCCTTTTTGGGGGGGTGTTTGTTTTGTTTATTCAAGACAGGGTTTCTCTGTATAGCTCTGGCTATCCTGGAACTCACTCTGTAGACCAGGCTAGCCTCAGACTCACAGAGATCCGCCTGCCTCTGTCTCCCAGTGCTGAGATTAAAGATGTGTGCACTACACCCAGCTGCTTTTTTTTCCTCACTAGGCTTTGGTTGGTCTCATTTCCTCAAATTAAAACTAAAGATGAGCAGGGCGTTGGTGGCGCACGCCTTTAATCCGGCGGATCTCTGTGAGTTGAGGCCAGCCTGGTCTACCGAGCCAGTTCCAGGACAGCCTCTAAAACAATACAGAGAAACCCTGTCTCGAAAAACAAAACAAAACAAAAAAAACCTAAAGTTGAATGCTTGACCTGTGGTAGATGAATAAAACCTGAATTTTCAAAAGTATATATATGGATATATACTAGCAAGCCTCTGCCAAAAATTCTTATGAAACCCAACCATGCCAAAGCCACATTTCCAAAACAATAACAGAGATAAGATCTAACTAGTTTATTGGGAATATTTGCTTAAATTTATTTGATTCCCCTAAATATTAACTAATGCTTATATAGTAGAAGGTTACTGCCTGTTTTTTTTAAACTATGAGTACACAACAAACAAACTTCAGAACATATTTTAAATGGCAGGCATTGTTCTTATTAGCCTCAAACTCAGAGATTAACCTGCCTCTTCCTCCTGATGCTGGAATTAACATGGGGTTAAAGCTGTGTGCTATGGCCGGGCATTGGTGGCGCACGCCTTTAATCCCAGCACTCGGGAGGCAGAGGCAGGCGGATCTCTGTGAGTTCGAGACCAGCCTGGACTACCAAGCGAGTTCCAGGACAGCCTCCAAAGCCACAGAGAAACCCTGTCTC